CTACACCTTGTTATCTCAGATTCTCCAGCATTTGCAGTTCCTACTATCTCTAAAACATCTTTGAAGTTATTTATATGTTAAATAAGGTGCATGTGTTTTTTGTATTAAAGTGATTGAAATTAATTTTTGATGAGCATTTTAATTATGAAATATGGAACATGAGGTTAGTGCACTTGGCTCTCAATGAAAATTTTCAGTGATGCGTTTATCAATTAAGACAGGATTTTTATATATATATATACATTTATATTATATAGAACATTCCATGTATAGCCTAGATAAGCTATTGCAAACATGTACCCGAAGAAGGCACTTAGTAATGAATTCACATTTTGTTTTTGGCACCAAGCACTTAAGTTGAAAAATGGCATCTCCACAGTCAACAGTGGTAGTGTACAGTATTTATTCAGGATGATATCAATTATAATTTATTTCTCGGTGCAGAAAGGGGGCACTGCCACTAAAATATTACTTGGAAATTAGTCCCGTTTTAACAGATGGTCTTGTTTCTCTGACCTCTTAATATCCTTATAATGATGTCATTTACCATTCCATGCACACCGAAGTCAGCCACCACTGCGTCTGCTATAGAAGTGCGGGCAGGGGGAATGTGATTGCTCAAAGCAGCATGTTTACTGGTTACATTTTTGTAAATATGCCCAGCAGGAGTTTCTCCAGTGCACATATAGTTTCTGTTCGTAGTTGAAAGTATGACAGGAAATGACCCTCTCGTGGATTAGGTAGTGATAGGACTGTTAGAAATTAGAGAGATCCATTGTCCTACATGGAAGGAATACATCAGCTGGTGGAACAATTTGTGGACCATTTCCCGATTACACAGCGAAGGGAAACAATCATTCAGAAGGCACAAAGTCACTGAGCATCTCCCTGAACCCCCAAGTGTCATTCATTCATTTACTGCTTCTCACCCCTTTTCCCCTAAAGATGCTAAGCGACCATGAATGTCAGTAGACTGTTCATTTGTGAAGGGAATGACAGCGAGTCCGATTCTGAGCTCATTGAATTTTAACAACTTTGCATGTGTCTTACTCAATAATACATAATTAGGCCAAATTTCTTTGTCCCAAAACAGGGTAACTGAGGCTAACTCTAGTGTTTTTGAAACCAAAAAAAAATCGCTGGAAAAACACATCAGTTTTGGCAGCATCTGTGGAGAGAAAGCAGAGTTAACGTTTCAAGTCCGGTGACCCTTCCTCACAAGATGGTTCTGAAAAAGAAGGGTTACTGGACCTGAAATGTTAACTCTGCTTTCCCTCCACAGATGCTGCCAGACCTGCTGTGTTTTTCCAGCAATTTCTGTTTTTGTTTCTGATTTCCAGCATCTGCAGGTCTTTACTTTTTTGGTGTAGTATTTCTGATACCAGTTAGCTGAGCCTTGGATCCAAAACATCAGTTTGCTCTCAAGAATATCTCCCCAACTAGCTAGAATTCGGACAAGAGTCTGGATGTTAAATGTTGATAGGCCCTTTGACCAAATAATATTCAGCCAACCAGTCCCACTAATGAAATCGGAGTGGGGGAGGGGTCTTTGTGTGGGAAACAGGGAACAGAATATTCCATCTTTATTTATCTTTGACTTTTTTTAAACATATAAAATAATGATTGACTAATGATAACTGAGTGTGATATTTTTGAAAAGGAATTGCCATTTTCTGATTCTGTAGTTTAAACTAGTGAACTTATTGACTTTCTTCACAGCAATGCAGACATTTTCTATCACTGACAGAAGCAGATCTACACACAGTATTATACGATGACCCTGCAGTACACTATTATATAACATCACGTTACTGAATTGTAAACAATACTGTAAGTTCTGTTTACAGGTTACACTTGTGTAAGTGTTGAACATGTAGCTTTTGTGCCAGACAGTAACGATATTTATTGTAACTATCCACATATGAAAGTGCAGCCAGAGCAACTCTAAATGGAACAATTTGACAAACATTGCAAACCACCAGTTCTGCTATTGCAGTTTAACCAGAAAAATAAACATTATCATAATCTTGTCTTCCTTCCCTCCTCTCAAATGGATGGTTGACTTACGTTTGAGTGCAGTTCCACAAATACTAGCTGCCTTTTAGTGCATTATTCTACAAGGGCATTCCTTACTTAAGTTTCTGCTGAGTTGATGGCAGAGGTATTGCAAATGAATCCAATTCTACCCGAACTTAATACCTGTACTTAGATATTTTCCAGTGGGGTTTAATGGAGAGAAACCACGGGTGGACAATTCTGTCTTTGCTCCCTTGTCTGGCAATGGACTCTAGTTGCTGCACAGCTTTCAGCTCAGATCATGACTGGGATCTTCTGATGTTGTATAGTACAGTACCAAACCATGTAATCTTAACTCAACGCAATTGTTGGCACAGTGGTGTTTTTCCCTTTTGCTATGGCTAGTGGGTAGCACTTTCATCTTTCAGTCAGAAGACTATTGATTAAGTTCCCAGTCCAAGGCCTTGATTACAGAAATATAGTGTGATGCTCAAGTGCTACAAAGGGATTACTGCATTATCAGAAATGTTGTCTTTTAGGTGAGACTTTAAACCACGGCCCAGATTTTTCTCTCGGCTAGATGTAAAAGATCCTGTGGAACTAATGAAGTTGTATTTGCTGTCTTGGAAAATGTTTGTTGCTCAATTACCATCGCCAATGAGATTATTTGGTCATGACCACAGTGCTAATTGTGAAATCTTGTTGTGTCCAAACTTGCCCGTTTCCTGACATTACAACAAGTGTCTATGCTTCAAAAGTACTTAATTGGGATGTTCCAAGATTGTGAAAGATACTGTCTAAACCCAACTCTTTTTCTTTAGGTCTGGGCCACAGACTTAGACCTGGCCTACAGTGACCAGCTGGCTATGACACAACTGATGCTCTTCATATCAAATGGGAAGCTGATTTGCAAAACCAGTACCTTTGAGGTGTCTCCCAAGCCCAGGGAGAAAAAGCAAACATCACACAGGAAAGAATCGGTGATGAAAGAAAGAGCACAAATTGTACGTGTGAACGAATACAACAAGCAATCAAATTAGAAATTTGTACCACTTCAACCATAAAATAATTTCATAACTGTTCCTCTCATTACAATCAGAAATTAATTAGAAGTCATTACAGAACACTTACATACTTTTGGATGTCAGCGGGGTTAAAAACAGAATATAGTAATTAATTAATGCTTGCGTGAGAAACTATTGCATTAGAAACCTTATCAGGAGCAAAATTGCCTGAAAGCATTCACAAAATTAATACCGAAATAAGCACATACCCTATCTGGGGAGAAAACATGCAATATCTATAAAGCTAAACATTCATTATATTTGCAATACATTACCATCTACATAAATGCAGCTAAATAATCAACACATAAATAATTCATGATGCAATTCATTATGCATGTGTATGCATACATCATTGTTATAATGAGCACCTCATCAACTGCCAAATGTTAAACAATAGTACTCCATTATTGCAATGATATTCAAGTTTACGGTTGTTAAACTGCTGCTTGTGTTATTCTGTCAAACATTAATTTAGTTGCAGTCCCATAGTACACACAACAGATTTCGTAAGTTTCTCCTTTTACAGTTAATGATATGATCAATGAGTGTTATTAAATCTATGAATATTATAAACATGATTAATTTTCATTGAGACGTTTAACACCCAAGTAGGAGATTCACATTTTTTTCAGCTTCCACAGGACGTTGTCTGCACCAGATTGTTGGCCATTGCAAATGAGAATTTTCAGGCATTAAATCAACTTTTAACTATGAAGACAACATTTTCAGCATTAAACTTTTAAGTGTCCAATTCTACTTAACATCCTGCCCTTCACTTTGCTGTTCAGAATTAGAATTCCATCAGTATCCATCCCCTGTATTTAGTTCTTGTTTTCCCTTTCCTCTTCTGAAAGTGCTAGCTCCTTCTCCAGTATAGCGCCAGGTTACCATTGGCTCTGCACATGGAAGGTGTAAGTGTAGGCATGCAATTTCAGCACAGTAGGCCTGACAGCATTGCGGAGCCCAATCTTGTGACCAACAGGCAACCAGACACACACAATTTCTGGAGTGGAATTCACTAGCCAGGAAATTCCCTGTCTTATTTTATTGCTCCCTCACCCAATATCCCAAACCCAACTCTATATCCCCTTTGCAGTCTTGTCTGGAATAAGTTAATTCACCACAAAAAGTTTCAAATTATCAACAGATCGGATACATCCTGGAAATATTTCAAATGTTAATGATAGGTATTTGTGACTTGCAATCCTGTTAGATTTAATGAAGGATCAAGCACAACTGAGTATTTAATACTAAATATCCATATTATTTTGTAAATAATTTAGCCTGAACGCTCTCTCTACATCTTTTTTAGTCAGTCCTTTTCAAATGTATGTGTTTTTATAATTTTATGGCATTTTCTTTTTCTTTTTTTTATTGTTTTTTGCAAATGTCATCATAATTCACCCATGGATTATTTCTTGGTACCATGCCCACATACACACACGAGCCATAATTAACTTTTTAAAACAAATGTAATATCAGATTTTGAATGAAGTGAAATTATGGTGTATCTACTAGTTGCCCATGGCATCCAGCCAGAAGGAGTGTCCCACAGGTGTGCCATACATTTTCTGTCATTTCCCTGGATGTTCAATTATTAATTTTTATTATTATTAAATTTTGTCGATATGAATTGTAAGTTGGGTCCCCTTCAAAAATGAGTAATTCAGATGCTATATGACAGATGAACAATTTAAATATTCACCAATCAGGTGGAATCAGAGATTCTACAGAGAATTAACCCTTCAGATGCTGCATAATAGGCTTCCATCATTTAATATTGAAACCAAGGGAAAGAAAACAGTGAGTTATTGTTACTGTGTGAGGCCTTGGCCTTTGACCTAATAGGCAGCCATGCTTCCACCTCAGCACCTTAGACAGATTGATAGGATGAAAGTGTTCACTGCTCGCTGTAATGAGTCTGGACAGTCTCATTCCAGTCCTTGCTGATCATGAACCCACAACACTAGTCTATCCCCGATTCAGCATTAATCAGCAATCTTACACAGAGGCCACTGAGAGTCTGGGATAGGAAATGGAAAATTGTCAAACCAGTGCAGTAATGGAATTTTATGGATGTGGATGTTGATGCTGAACTCACTGAAGGAAGCATTGCTACATTAAATATTGCGGAATACAGCATTGCTGTATTCAATATTACAAATGCATTTAAAAATATTTCCTTTTGTCAGTAAATTGAAAAAGACACTCTGGAATCTTACATAATTTAGTTATTGGCTATGTCAATTGTGATGCTACAAATTATCCTGATTGTGATCACTGTCCCTAGTGGGAAATGTGTTTCTGTGGACATGCGGTGAAAATGGATTGGTCTTGGCTGTGATGTCTTTTATAATCAACCAATCTTCCTGCATTCACTATCTAAGTTTATTCATGAATTGAGTTGGGTGTTGAGAATTTGATCTACTCTGTGTCCATATTTCAGGAGCTCTTTGGATTACTATGGTTCTAATTTGGCGAGCAGGAAGCACATATGTGAATGTTCCCATCTGATGTGCGCTGCCTGTCATATTGATGAAGGACAAAAATGATCTAAAGAAGGTGTTAGGCTATTTGTGATCTGCTACTAACAGGTCTAATGCCAGTTTGAGGTCACTGGTCCAAGATTGGTATGCCCTAGGTCAATTAATCCAAGAAAGTAAGTGACTTCACTGAAGATGGAGCCAAGAGGAGCAGGAGCACTTCCCGTGGCCCCACATTAAAGCAAGCAAATATGGCAATTCACCCATTCATTTTGTCCATAGTGTCACTGTTCCAAGCCCTGACCATTGATCTTTCTAATTCCTGTACCCCTTTTTGGTCTCAACCTCTGATTCTCTGCCCCTGCTCCTCCACCCCCCACCCCCAACCAATCCCCAATCTCCCCAAATTCTAGCATGACCCCCAATCTCTCTCCCCAGTTCCAGCTTTCCACAGAATTAAATGTATTTGTCCAGCCCAGAGAATTTGTTTTCCTGGGATAAGTACCGTTCTGTGTTATAATGGGCATTTTACGATTTACTAGATTCAGTACTTTCAAGCAAGATCTTCCTGACATCTAATAAATGAATGAAATAAACTATACAGAGTAGAAAAATTGCAGTTTATGATTGTGAGTCTGTGCTGAGTGAGCTGATCTTTACCAGAGAGGTGTTACATTGCTACAGCTGAGTCAGGAAGGAGATAAATTAATCAAAGTTTCCTCTCCTGATGACAATCCAATGATTCCTCTTAGAATGTTTCTGCTCCTGGTTATCTAGGGAGGACAGAAATGTGCATGATTGTGAAGACCTCTGTAGTTAAACAGCCTTGAGTCATTTGTATGTCCAAAATAATTCTCCATTCTGGCCAGCTAGAAGGGCACTGAGATCAGGAGATGGCACCTTCAGAAGGGGACAGCATTTTAGAAATAAAACTTACAATATTCCAGACAAATCTGCATTGGCTGCTCAGATTTATTCATGCATTGATACAGGCATATTTTGATTAAGGAAATTTTCTTCAGCTTTTTTTTAAACACCGTAAAATGGCTTATGTTCTATTTTAATGAGATCATGTGAACAAAAATATTTGATCGGCAGATGCATTTATCTGAATTCCTCATTTAAACTTAATAGGCCACAGTAGGGTTTCATAATATATATATGTACATATATCTGTACTGGATATTATTTGCCTTTCAGCAACTTCCTTTTATGAAACGTTACGGAGTGTTAAGCACACAGCTGAAACATACCAATTTATCCATCGTCCACTACAGTGTACTCTTCAAGATTTTTAAAGTTCATGGAATCGGTTTTGATATTAAGGTATTGAAGTTTTTTTTCTTTTATCTTCCAAGGATTGTCTCAGTAGTAAGCACTATAGGTGGTCTTCCCTGACTTCATTATAACCACGGTTTCATTCTATTAAACGAATCGCTTGCATATCAAGCTTTGTCTGATCGGGCTTACATAGAGGATACTCGATGGGGACTTGTGAGATATGTGTTATCTTAGACACATTTGGAAATCCTATTAATTCATACTGATTTCTACATGAGCCTAATAGCCCGTATCTCCCCAAACTCAAAACTGCAGCATTTTTTTTCTATTAAGAATTTCCTCACTCTCCCCATTGTTATTACATGGATGGTCTCCTTGCTGCATCAGTTCTAAAAGGCACTGGGCAGCTCCCAGTCCTCATTCCAGTTTAAGCCTTTGACATAGACTCAGCACTGTATCTAATCATAGAGGTTGGTGTGCTAAAAATTGGCTGGCCTCAATTTTGTCATCATCTCATATTCACACATGAAACACTTCCAACAAAGGCTGGGTTATAGCAATCAGAATAGGGGTTGGCCCATAGGACTGGGAGAAAATTCTCCACATGGACAGTTGTGAACCTTTGAAATTCTCTATGCACCAGAGCTGCAAACAGTCAAACAACAGTTTGTTGTCTCAGGGATCAATAGTTTTTGAATACCAACAGAACTGAGGGATGTAGGAATAGTCTGGGAAAACATACCTGCAGCAGAAGATCAGCCATGATCTTATTTAATGGCAGAGCAAGTTGAAGGAACCAAATGGCCAGTTTCCAATTGTCTATTGTGAACTGTGACTGATTTCTTTATCCCTCCCATAATTGTGACACTGAAGGACAATTATGGTGAGCTCCACTGAAGCCCTGGCTCAGACCAGGACAAGCCTGAAGAGTTGAAATACTATTTTCCTTACACATGTTGGTGAGTTATCCTCTGAGTCAACTTAGTGAGCCTTGTGTCTCACAAATGTATATACTTTTAAATTGGCAAGCGTATGTACTTTTCATCAACTCAATTATTTTTAGCTGTTAGAATGTCTGTGAACATCACAGAGCTAATTCTCAGAACGTATTACTGCTGTTCCAGAATCTTGCCTATTTTCTGGAATACGTGCTCCCACAAGTGAAGCTCTGCTTCTGCAGCACTTACACTGATCCCTTTCTGCTGCTCCTTGATTCCTGAGGCTCTGGACAAACTTCTTGTCAGCAGTATACTTTAGAAGAGGTAATATCAGGAGTCAGAATGACAGTAAAGCAGCAGAATATTTTCCCAAGCCTGTGCACATTTCATTAAAGCTTGGAGAAAATTGAACAATCCATGCAATTTAATTGATTTGCATTGATTCCCAGTTATTCCAGCAGAGGTGACCTACAAGGGAGATCATAAGGCTTTGTACCATGTACTTCTGGTGAGGGGTGATTGACCATTTTGGTGTCACATTTGCTAATTACAATTCACAGGATGCGGTCAGATTTTAACTTAAATATCCAAATTTAATGAACACATTTCCTTTTTACCTTTATGACCTTACAGACATATTTGCAGGAAATTATTTTACTAATAGAAGTCAATGCATCACCATCATTTGCCATGGAAAGGCAGAAACTATTGATTTGATTAGAATAACAGACTTTTAAAATATCTGATTTCTCTAAAGTGTTCCAGTTCACTGTGAATGACAAATCTTTTCAAGCCCATAGCTAAACATGCATCAAATCTATTCTGTTCATTTCCAACATGTGTACACATTATTTGAAAGATTATGTTAAAATCTTAGTAATCCATATATATTGAGAAAACACTGAATGATATTTTCAATTCAACTCTCCAACCACAATGCTCCACTTTTCTGTGCCAGGTACGGAACAATCTGCTGTGCATGTCTATCATTTCTGCTTTTGTCTCAGACTGTTTGTCTCTCTTAAGACATTGATTCTATAGCATTGCAGTGGTACTGAGAAACATTTGTGTATTCCTTACCACTATCAAATTCAAAATTGCTACAGTTTTTATTATTATTTCAAAGAATTATACAACGCAGAAAGAGTTCACTTAGCACATCAGGCTTATGCAAGCGCTTTGAAAGAGATTTCCAATTAGTCCAACTCCTATCCTTACGTAAGGCCCTGTAATTTTTCCTTTTCAAGTATATGTCCAACTCTGTTTGAAAATTGCCATTGAAGCAGCTTCCAATACCCTTTCAGGTAGACTGTAACAACTTGCTAATTAAGTAAAAACATTCTGGATGGAATCTTCCCAGGCTCTGAACAACATATACTATGTGAAGATATTTGGGAAAAACACGTAAGAAATCGAAGGAGGCCTTTCCCAATATCAGCAGCCACAAGTCACATTTTCCCACATTGAGACAGGATTCTCACCAGTGAGTGGTGAGAGACCTGTTGACAGGGACTATCACTTATTATCACCCTCATTATTGCTTAATCTTGCCATATTAATATACGTTCTCTTATCCCACCACCTGTCCGATAGAAACTAGATGGCAAAAATTCCTCACATAGAGCAGGGACCTGGCGATTCCAGCTCACCACTTGCTCCTCTTGACCTCCATCTTGGACCCCAGCCCTAATATCTCTGCACACTCCATGGGCAGCAACCACAAGCTGCCCTTGTCTGTTGACACTGGCATCCAACTTGTGACAGCCTCTCCACACCATTATGGCATATCTCAGTATGCATTTACTTTGTCATGCTCCACTTTGGGACACACTGACAATGATCATGGAATGCTGCTGCAAGGTCACTCTTTGCACTCAGGAACAGGCACCCAACTCACGGATTGAACCATGCTGCATCTCACTTGCTCTCTTAACACTCAGTCATTTAGAATCTACATTGGATGTTCACAGTATGCCTACCTTGATTTGACTTCCAGCAATTTACCCCTCAATTGCACTTTAAAGGCTCACAGTACTGTCATATTGCTTAGATGTATAACACAGAAACAACACTAGGCAGCTTCTCATGCTGGCCAGCAGTCATTAGTCAGGGTGGTGAACATGTTACTGAATAGCATAGTGCTATGTCATTCTCATAGCTGCATCATGTGCCAGCCATGTGTTTGGCAAATACACTGCATGTATTGCAAGCCAAATGCCATGTCTCAAAGTCAAGTCTAGGGAGACCTCTTCAGTTGGGGATCCAGGCACAGTAAGTTAAGAGAAGCCTCTGCTATCAGTCCAGGTGTTTGGGCATGACCAGTCAGCAGTTGTGACAGCCATGGTCAGGGGCTCCGTTATACTATCATTCAGGCTGTGGGACATGGTCAACCTTGTGGATCCAGTGCAAACCAGACTGGGAGTTGCAGGAAGACCATCGGGCAGCCACACAGATATCATTCAGGTGGCTGTCACTCATCATTTCAAGGCTAACTTTGCTTAAGGGGGTGGACCATGGTCTATCCTGAGGGTCCAACCACTAAAAGTTATGGAGCCACTGCAATGGGAGGGAAACTGGGTAAATTATTTGTGGGTATTGGAGTCAGAATGCTGGGATGCAGAGGAGATTTAAATACTGAAGTGGGGGCAACTAAACAGGTGACGTCATCCAGCATGGGAGGCAAAGTGGTTACGCTTTTGTGGGGTGATTGGTAAAGCAGGCAGACAGACTGGTTGTATGGGGAGTTGGGGTAATGCCCATAATGCAGTAGCCAGGTTTGTCGATCTGGCAAGATGGTGCATAGTTACCAAAGTAGCAGTAACATGTGATTTATGCTTAACCTCCACATGGTGCAAGACGTGCTGACTTAACACTCTGGACCATGAAACATCTCATAGTGCTTGGATGGTAGGGGTTCTGTATTTTCAATATTAGATTCTGTTATTTGCAGTTGCAGCCAGACAGAGAGTCTCACAGACAGCTGATGGTGAAAAGAGATAATATACAATGTTGAGTCACAAGTGTCACGTATGTGCCCTCAGAAGATCTTCTTTCTTTCCCTCCCACTAAGTCTTGGTGCAGTCCCAGGCTCTCAACAGGAATGGAGAGAGCCTGTCCTCCAGTGGAGCTGATTGGTCTTGGAGCTGATTTAGTTGGGCAGCCCCAGAAATTTTTATGTCTAGAGCGCACAGACATGCTGAGTGTGTCCTGTCCAGAGGTAAGTGTACCCTCATTGCTTGACCTTCCACAGGGCTGAGGGTGGCAGGCAGGGTCTGGCCATCTTTGGAGTGTCCTGACAGGCACCCTGTGTGTGGTTCCTCCAACTGACTGCCCACAGACACCACTCTGTCTGCTTGTGAGGATGCGGCACCTAGAAAGAACTGAGGGTCCCTCATCCCCCTGTTTGCCTTATGTTGCTGAGCACCAATGACTAAAAGCAATGCAGTGTAGGCCTGTGTTCATTTCCAGCAGACTCTGAGACTGCTGGACCTGACTCTCCATGATTTCTGCCAACCTGTTCATGGAGGCAGCCAGATACTCACATGCCTAAGGCAGTAGGGCCCCCATAGCACTCCTGCAGTACTGCACATTTTGCATTAGGTTGCCCAGTGCCCAACAAACTTGCCTGCTGCTCCAGTGTCTGCTTGTGCTTGTCAATGAAGCCCATGATTGCCAATATCAAGAGGTCCTCTCCTGCCTGGGGCTGAGCGGCTGCCTGGTCCCCAGCAGTCCTCCCAAAGCCAGTAACCTGGGCATTTTTCTTCTTTGGCCAGCTGTGGTGATGTGGCAGTGAACTAAGAACCAGCAGGTTCTCCTGACTCTAATCTGGAAAACATAGCCCCAAAGTTTCAGTATCTGATCTGGCAGGGGGATCTGAGAGGCCAACTTACAGTGGCTTCCTCCAAAGCACAGAAGGGTTAATGAGACAGCATGTGTTGAAGGGCACCCTCTTGATGGCAGATGCTGTGAACATCCCAATGATGTATGTGGAAGACAAAAGACAGAATGTTGATAACAAGGGATAGAAATTGTGGCATGTCAACATTAAATGCACAATAAGGGTAATGGGAGAGTACCATGACAAGAACAATGCTTCCTACTTGGTTGCTGGGATATTGAGGTTTCAGATTCCCTACAAGAACAGTTCTGGTCTTCACTAGCCAGTACCAAGATTCTATCCCCATAGTTGATGAAGGGACAAATACCTGGCATCCCACCATCTGTGCTAGCCCTGTTGGCTCCATTTTTCCTGTATTGAGTGAGATGAAAGTACATGACACAGCTGTGAGTGCTGGTGCCATGAAGGGAAAGGTGGTGAGGTGACCTGAGTGATTAGGCACAGTAGCAACCTTGCATGGTTTGCAAGGTTTGGTGTTTAGGTTGACAAGAGCGAGTGAGGTAAGATGTTGCATGCATCAGTAAAAATGATAGAGGTGGATTCCATACAGAGGTAAAGGGAATGTGAGCAGCAGAGAGCAGATGGTGGCACTTAACCTGGCGAGCAGGATGGGGGGGGCAATAGCCTAGCGGTATTATTGCTAGATTTTTCATCCAGAAATTCAGCTAATGTTCTGAATCCTGCCACAGCAAGTGGTGGAATTTGAATTCAATTAAAAAAAAATCTAGAGCTGAGAATCTCCTGATGGCCATGAAACCATTGCGAATTGTCAGAAAAACCCATCTGGCTCACTCAAGTCCTTCATTGACCTTCTTCCTGCACTGTTGGGCATTTCTCCAAATAATGGGTGGCTACCTCGGGCCAGGTTGGCAGGGTCTGATGGTATGGCCTAATCTGGCTGTCCTCAGGGAAGAGCATGGCCCTTCTCTTGGGATGTACCAACCCACCCATCTGGATCTCCAGATCCCTGTGAGCAAAGCAAGTATCAATATCCCCTTTTCCACCATGCCAGCGCCAAATGTCTGCAAACACGCAGGGCAGGTCCAGACTGTCGATGCTTGCCCGAGTGCACAAAGTCCTTTTGATTATAGTATCAATACCATGGAGGTATATCTCAGGTATATCTGCAGTGGCAGTACTTCCAGCTACAGTGCGTGGGAGAATCAGATGAGGCCCCAGTGAGACTTGGTAGGTAGTAAATGAGCATGGTGTGGGATGATAGTGTGTAAAAACCTGTTTGGCCGCACAAGAAAAACCCTCCATGAAACATGACTCTACCAAAATATGGTAAGATTCAGTCCCCTAATTTCCCCTCCAGTTCTTTTGTCATTACCTTAAACCTAAATGTTCTGGTTTCTGCCTTTCCTGCTAATCGAACGTTTTGTTTCTTATTTACTCCCATCAAAACTGTTCATAGTTTGAAAAGCTTTAAGAAATCTTCTCACGACTTTCTCCATTCTAAGGAGAACAATCCCAGCTTCTCTCATTATATATAAAGTCAAATTTAATCAGCGGTTTTATTTAATTTGAAGTTATTGGTTACATTGATGTGCCAAATTAATCACACTGAAGGATGAGCTCCCTATATTAGTGCAATTGATAGCATAGCTTACCCTGGATAACTGGGCAAGAACTTGCTTTCAACTGATACTCATCAGTCTGGGGAAGTTGTTGACCTATGAAATTGATACTTCTGTGCATTCCAGATCATGAGTGCAAAGGTTCCTCAGTTTGATCATCATACCCCATCTGATTTACTTACCTCAACCTGTGCAATAGTTATCAGCAAATAGGAAAAATCTTCCAAGGATACTGTTCAGCATTCAGTCACACCTGCTGAATTGAGTGTTGGGTGGAGTTCAGGCTAAGTTATGATGTCCTCTGTGATTGAATGGTAAGCCAAGTCTCACTCTGACATCCATTTTGCTGCAAGTCAAATGACTTCACAGAAAGAAGGGAAAAAAAAACTCAAGGGATTCTCCATAATATGATTATCTTATAGGGCATGAGATCTAATACTCTCTGTTTTTACAGGAAAGACAAGGGACAGTATTTATACTTCATGAAGATAATAAGAAGGATCGCTTGGGGATGGTGTAAGTCTGCCATATACTACAAATGCACATTTTGTAACTCCCAAGTTTGTGTTCAAGGAACAAGCTTTTGATAATAATTATTCATTCTGTTGCAATATTTTGCATGTAGAGAATGTGATGCTTGTTTTAAAAGACCGGAATAATCATTCCCTAACTCTGTAGGATTCCATCTTGCCATCCAGTTGAGTTAACCTATTGCTATTCAATGGTGTATTGATTAATAAAACATATTTATTGTGCAAATCCTTCAGTTGACATGTAAAAAGCAGTACCTCATCTTTCATATTTCCCAGAAGATTTGTGCCCCGCGAGAATGAAAGTGCTCATTAAATTCCATCAGCACTTCCCTGAAATGAGACTGTGATTGTTTTTAAGCATGTAAAGGGAATCATTAGTAAACTCATTTGTTTGTATATCATTAACAGAACAATCGGGGAAGATCTCCAGGGGGCTCTGCTGACCTTTGCTCATAATCTCTCTGTCATTCATCAGGAAATAACAGCACCTAATATGCAATTGGAGAACAATTTTCAGGTGAGGTGTTAATTAACTAATGTTTTGCTGTTAATTTTTGTACAGTTTATTAACATAGAAATGTTTTCAGATTGCACAGTGATTGAAAGCAAGGTGTCATTCAACCTTCAGTCAACAACAATAACTTGCAGTTCAATACATGTGAATCCAAGTTTACTAACTGATCATGTACCACTGAGTCATTGCACAGTCAGCAGCAAACTCCTCTCTATTTTCATGTGAAATTGCCATTAAAATATAAAGGTGTTTTCAGCACTCTAAGTATTTGTACAACTGTATCAGTGACAGTGACTCTTTGAATTATTTTCCATTTTCTCTACCTTCTCTGAGTGGCACCAATTCAGTAATGACTTTTTGAACAGTGACAGTACTCCAATACCTCAGTCAAATCATCAATTTTCATGGATAAGTCTCAATAGCAAAATACAGCTCCCAAATTTCTAAAAATGCTGATTTCTTTTATTGTGTCATTGGAGAGACAGGAGCATAGTGGTAATGTCACTAGACTAGTAATCCAGATGTGCAGACAATTACCCTGGGGAAATGGCTTCAAATCCCACTGTGGCAGCTAGTGGAATATCAGTTCAAGGAAATAATCTGAAATTGAAAGTTAGCTTTAGTTTTGTTGATCATGAAACATCAATTGTTGTAAAAAGTCATCTGGTTCACTAATGTCCTTTAGGGAAAGAAATCTGCTGCTCTTACTGGGTCTGGCCTACATGTGACTCCAGATTCACATCAATGTGTCTGACTCTTAATTGTTCTGTGAAGGAGCTAGGAGGCCACTCAAGGGAAACCGTGGATGGGTGATGAATGCTGGTCTTGCTAGCGGCACCCACATCCCATGAAAGAATAAAGAAAAAAATGAATGTAATTGACAACCCAACATTTGTTGCCTATTAATAAGTTCCCTTGAGAAAGTAGTGTAAGGCCCCTCTCAAACTGCTGGTCCTATCTAGTGTAGGTCCACAGTGCTATTATTAAAGAAGTTCCAGGATTTTGACCCAGCTAAAGGAAAGGAATAGGGATATAGCTTCAAGTCAGAATGCTGATTGGCTTGGAGGGGAACTTGAAGGTGGTGGTGTTCCCATGCATCTGCTGCTCTTGTCCTTCTAGGTAGTGGAGGTTGTGGGTTTGATGGTGCTGTGAAAGAAGCTTTGTGGAGTTACTGCAGTGCATTCAGTGTATTGTATTCACTGCTGCAACAGTGCATTCATGGTGCAGGGTCTTTAAGGAGGCAGATGGACTGCTCTGTTATTTGGAATGTTTAATCAGGAATGATGTTGATTTTGGTAAATCTGATTTGTCTTTCTCCACAGTCATTTGTCAGTAATTGTTAAAGTTAAACCAGAAGTTAAAGTGCAAGTTCCTTTTGTTTTTGGTATCCAGCCTTTACAGAGTTGTCAGATTGCAAGATATACCAAGGAGGCATTTCCCAGAATCTCTTCCTGACTTGACCAAAGGCTTTTTATTAGTTTTTACTTTCCTCGCTAAGGAGATTGCATGACTACAGGCAGGAGTAAGAGTGGCAGAAGGTTTAGGCAGAAGGGTGGGGAGGGGGAGTGGTGAGGTGGTCAGGAAGGAGAGTGGTGGGGGGGTGTTTTGAGGAGTGGGCGGGCAGGACTGAGAGTGGTGGGGGTAGGGGATAATGGGAGGGGTAGATAATGGGTAGTTTAATATTGTAAGCAGCTTAATCATACAGAATGGGACAGACTTGTTGGTCCAGCTGCTCAGTTCCTGCACATTTTTCAATGCTGTTGTTCTTTCTATCTCTTGAAAATATTTACTTGTAATTTAAATCACACGACCTTCAGGCTTAACAACACCATACTTGTTTTTTTCCCAATAATTATCGATGTGATAGGGATATCAAAGAAATAGCACTGCTCTTAACCGTTTGGACTAGGGAAGGCACTTGTATTAGGATCCTAACTTTGATCCTAACCATTCTGTACAACAAATTTCTTGCCTTAAAACTGAAAGAACTGCAGAAACTGCTGGAAAATCTCAGCAGGTCTGGCAGCATCTGGAGAGAAATCAGAATTAATGTTTCAGGTCCAGTTGTCCCTTCAGGGGAACCCTGAAATTTTCCAGCAGTGTTTGATTTTGTTTTAAATTTCTTGACTTCTTCAAGGATAATACAGATAGTACCATTGCCTACGATATAGCTTATTCCAACTTTCACTTTAAGTGTGCAGTGGGGTCATCAGTTATCATCAATATGAATCCAAGCCAGCTGACGAGATGGAAAAACTAAGCTACCTTCCTTTATGGGTAGATTCAGTTGACTGCTCAGTCTTACAGATTGTTCCACCTTTAGCGTCACAGGTGCTCTGTATATTTGTGTTCACACAATTAATAGCCACCTGTTTCTTCTTTACCCAAAATAAAAACATTGTTAAGATTGTTAATGTGGAAAAGAGTCTTGTGTCAGATTTGTAGTGCCTTTACTTTGGGGTCTGAAGGTCCAAGTTTAATTCACATTTGTCTTGTTGGTGTTTATAAAATGTTCAAATAGGTTGATTTCAAAAAAAAAATCCCAGCAATGTGATTCACCAGAGTCATAATTGTTAACAATTGTGGGCAAGATCAGAACTGGCTATGATGTAGTCACTAGCCTGAACCCACATGAAGAATAGTCAGTAATCAAGATACTACTGTTCAAACTATACACGTAGTTTCCATAGGATTTTGCACATTGGAGCGTGTGAAGGGTAGGAGGGAGAACCTTTGGATTAAAGTCTAGATAAGGCAAGGAAAAAATCATTCAGTGGAAGTTACGCTGTTGAGATTTTTGTATGGGGATGGCTAATCATATCCTTCTTTGTGGACAATTTAGTAAAGAAGCTGTACATTTATGTTATTGTTACAGGCAGCGATCAAAGACATTGAGTTAATCCTCGGAGTTACAATAGTGAACAAGTCCTACATTAAAGAAGATCACCCAACCACTGCATTAGAGGCTCTGACTTGAAGATCCTAATTCAGAGAAACTGTAGCTATTCACCAATGTTCAGGACTACTTAAGCTCCAATTCTAACTGTGTTGCACTGGAATCCTGGCCTACTGTCAATGATTCCAAAAAAACATGCAATATTCTTCAATCATTTTAAGAATATGGTTGGACCTATGGAAGCATGGAAGGAGTCCAAGAACATCTGTTCTTCACAACATGATATTCTGAAAATGATAGAAATTAGCTCAAAGTCACAATTAAAATGTTCAAGATGAGCTAAAAAGGACATATTTTCCATGTTAGTGATATAAATACTTGATGGATTTCTTTTAATTCTATTTTTCCATCCTTTAAGTTTTTCTATTGTTCGCTGTTGGCCTTGGACATTGTTTGAAAATCGGGAAATCTATTTACAGGACCCTGCATATGTCACTTTGTAGCCAGTAGGAGGTGCACAAAATCAACCCAAAACAATTCACTTGCGATCAAAAGGGGCAAAGTAATTCTTTTTTCATGTGTAAGCCCTTTAGCTGCCCAGCCAACTATTATTGACAGATCTGCGTCTTATTTAATTAGCATTACCAGTGTTATTCCTGAACATCTTTAGGGTTTCAGTACAATCACAATACAAGAGGGAAATTCATTTTTTCATTCTTCCATTTGCCTGGAAGCATATAAAGAATGTGGTCTGGATTGAGCATACAGCAGAATGTGTTCTAGATCATTTCTGGGATTTTAAAAAGTATGTCGCATGTTATCTCACTGTTATAAATAAATTGATGGATTCCCAGAACTTAAATATTTATTATTTTCCTTAGTCCTCTTTCTAATCGATGATGTCTCATGCCAATGGTCACAGTAAGTTACAAAATAACAAATACACCATGCAGGCACAATGTAAAATAAAAAGACGTTTTTACATCTTGACAACCTTTTCCCAAAAAAATGTAAAATGTCTCCTTCAGCGTTGCAGCTATATCTAAGTTGGGCTATCTCTTCAAGGCAATATTTATATTTCCAGTGATGAACTGTTTAAATGTGCACGCCCTGACATCAGTTACAAGCTAATTGCTATTGCTGAGGGAAGTTTATCTCATGATTGGCAGCTGTTTATAAATTTCCAACTCCTCCCCTTTATGCTTCTGGAAGACGTCAAAACATGGCAGGTATTGACTGTTTCTTTCAAGATATTTTGACAATCATGATTTATTATCATTTGATGGATAGCAGGTTTGAGCCGCTCGAATGCAAGTGTGATACAGACTTGGCACGTGCAACATTTTCAAATGTGATACATTGAGGTTGACTAATGTGCTTGACACAGACACTTAGATTAATGTTTTTGGGAATAGACTGGTTATCCTTCTCTGTAATTTGGATTTCTTCTGGATATAAAAAATACAGGTGCATTTACATTGTGAATCGGTACAGCCCAAATCCTGGAAGAATTACATGGAACCTTTCTCGTCATGTTGGTCTCTCTTTCTTACATGTCACTAGTTTGTCACTGGTTGATTGGGTATTCCCAAGATCAAATGCAGATTCCTAACATGTTACGCGTGGCATTTCAGCATTGGTCAAGCTATCCAGACATTCCAGAAAGTACTGATACAGGATTAATTTAAAAGCACCTTAAAACCAGGAGCCCTGTAAAATTATAAGCACTGAGTCAATTTCTGCTGTACTTGTGATCTAATTCCTGGTCTTATTATTCCTATGAACTAAAAGGTGCAATGACAGAGGATGGTTTTTTTAAACCTTTTTTCCTCTTGGTTTAATCTGCTGATTTAGTTTTATTTCTTTGCCTTCCACTGATGAAAACACAGGCTCTCACTTGAGTTCACTTCCTAAAACTCCCAGCAGCTCCCTTCAATACCTTGCTCAAATGGCCATTCTTCAAGTATGAGCTTAAACGGTGATTTAATCAAGAGGATGGTCACCCTGGACTAGTATAAACATGTCCTCAGACAATATTGACAAGTATTGTTCTCAGTAGGAATTCGATAATATTTAGGGCACAAAAATAGCTGATCATTCGCCTGCCAACAATTCTAGCCCAGTATTATTGAGACTGGTTGTAGGGCCTGTAAGTTAACGCTTGTCAAAACTGGTGACAAAAGTTAAATAAAAACCAGAAAAGACCCTATGTCCTCATTCCTTAGACTCTTGCCACATTATGAATGCTAACCATTTGAAGATGGTTCCCTAAATACTCTCTGATCCCTCAAGGCTAAATTCATGTGACCTTGGAAACCTATTATTCAACTCTATTGCCTTGCAGAGCCAACACCCTCCAACCATCCCAGCAGTAAAGGAAACAGCGTGTCCTGTTTATTAGCTGACTATTTGTTCAGCTCTGTATATGATTAGCTTGCTCCTTTCTGAAGGGGGTTAATTGACCTGACCTCTACATCGCTTGCTGAGGATCTGCTTATTGAGAAAATTATACCAGTTAATTAACATATTTTGAGAGTAGACCCAACAGTAACGTTAAATGTAAGAATATCTCCTCGGTATTGCGTTGTCTGAATATATTCCGTCTGTCTCATTAACATATTTGACAATAGATGCCTTTCACAAATTATTAATTATTCATCTGATTACGATATTCCACAAACACAGCCCTTCTCCAAACCTTAGAACTAGTCAGTCAATTACCATATTGCACAATGACTCCCTTCTTCTGTACCATAGTATTATTCATGTAATTATAGCAAGAAAGAGACACAGCTGATCCTATTTGGACCAGTTTGTAATATCTTCAACTGCCCAGCCTAATATCTCTATCAACTGCTGTTCATGTCCCAACACATACTGTGCCAACGTGGCCTCAAGGTTACTTTTAAAGATGCAAGCACCCCATCCCAACAGCAACATCTCCCTCACCCCCTCCCCCCACTACCTCGCAATTAATTCTCAAGAACAACCTTGGCCTCCAGTACATATATGGTCACATATTCTACATGTATTATGTTACTTTACTCCAGTTCCAGCCCTTTCAATCATTGTTAATCTTGCATCTTTGAGAAGATAAACTCTTTTGATAAGAACTATGACGTATGCCCTAACAGTACTGGTGGGCATCATTAGGACTGGACTAAAAACAGAAAATGCTGGAGTTTTAACAGCAGATTTGGCAACCCTAGGGTAGAGACAGACAGAATTAATGTTTTGAGACCAAAATGCTACTTGTTCGGAATCAAAGTAGAATCATATCAGACTTGAAATACTAACTCTGTTTTTCTGTCTCCAGAGATGCTGCCAGACCTGCTGAGTTTCTCCAGTGCTTTCTTTTCTTAAATTGACTTTCCCCAAGCCCAGGAGTTTGATGAACTTTGTCTTTTTTTAATTATTGTGTATGACTTCTGTCATTGATGTGGGTGCTGTGACGGGTAACTTATAAAATTTTTCACTGTATTTTTCATGTAAAAGTACACGTGACAATAAATTTCTATTTTATTTTGTTTTTATTTCAGATTTCCAGCATCCAGAGTATTCTATTTTTATTTTGTCATAACAACTGGGCTGTTTGGTGGACCTGAGAAGCAATATTAACATTTAATCTTTTTTTTTTCTTCATTTATTCATTCATGGAATGTGGGCATTGCTAGCTTGGTCAGCATTTACTTCCCATTTCTGATTGCCCTGCAGAAAGTGGTGATGAGTTGCCTTTTTTAACTGCTGCAGCCATTAAGGTGTAGGGACACAGTGTTGTTAGAAAGGGAGGATTTTGACCCAACAATGATGAAGGTATAGCGATATGGTTCCAAGTCAGGATGGTCTGTGTCTGAGAGGGCTTGCAGGTGGTAGTGATCCCATGCATCTGTGGCCCTTGTTCTTCTTCGTAGTAGAGGTCATGAGTTTGGAAAGGACTTTGAAAGAGTCTGGTGAGTTACTAGAGTGCATCTTGTAGATGGTACACACTGCCATTGTTGTGTATCAGCAGTGAAGAGGGCGATTATTCATGTTGGTGGATGGGATACCCATCAAGCAGGTTACTTTGACCTGAATGGTGTTGAGATTCCCAAATGTTGTTGGAGTTGCGCTTATTCAGGCAAGTGTAGAGTATTCCATCATATTCCTGACTTGGGAGAGAGCAGACAGGGCTTCAGTTTAACATTCACCCAAGAAAGACCAACTCCAGCAGAGCAGCACACTCTCAGAACTGCATAACCTTCCCACAACCTTCTGACTCGGAGGCAACAGAGCTACCAACTGAGCTACAGTTGGCACTAAGGGCCAGATTTTTGTAAAGTTTGTAATACTCTGAGGACATTTAAAAATCGTGGATAGGATCCAGATATGGCACTCCTGTTCCAATTTTGGACATATTCAATTTTTACCAGCAACAATAAAATTAGTAAGATGTGAATCACTTGAAGCAAAACCCAAACTCAACAGAGCCATGCAAAATCAGTGCCAAGTTTGAACAGAGTCCACTTTAGCTGTTGCAGGGACGTTAAACCATAATGTGGGAGTCACAAACTGAAGGAGTACACATAAAATCTCTTGAAGGACAGATAACATCTAATTAAATGTCATGATCTATGGTTATTTAAATGTGATACTTCTTAAACATTAAGAAGATCGAGCTGTAGTTGGCCGTGAAAGCTTAAAAAATTTTCTGCTGTACAACCTTCACTGACAGGCCATCTAGTGTAAGTTAGAAATCAGCATCTGTTTACTTTCCATAGATCTCTTTGTTCACGTTTTCTCAATGACTTTTATTATGTTATTGTGAATGCTTTTCTGGGTAAGCTACAATTTCCCAGCGGGGAGGTGCTGTTTTCAGAGGTTGGTTGACAGTTTAAAGAGGCTGTTAAAGGATTTGGTGTCTTCAGTGTGAGATATAAATAGAAGCTTGTCTGTTTTTATAAGAGATTAACCACATGAGGAAATTTATAAGCTTTGGATACATTTTATAAATCAAAGTGTTTTGACTATCAAGTGTGCACAGTAAGAGCTATGTTAGATTTGTAAAATGTTAAGGTTTTTTCATCCCCACTTGACTCCTGAAGCCCACCCATGGACGAAACTGGGTGAATGATTATGGAGGGAGCATTTGGGTGGATGGGTTGACACTGAATTGGCTTGGGGCTATGAGGGGCAGTGAGTTGAGAGTGAGAGGGTTAACACTTTGTAAAATGACTGGGACATAGTCCTTGAGGATTGAAATGGGCCTTCCAAACAGCCCATCTTGCCATTTGCTCACCCCCATGGGCTGCCTACCTTTGGCTGTAGCTGCTTGTTGGATCAGTGGACATGGCATTATTCTGCCCCTGCCTCTCTGAATTGAAGACTACGCATGTCAGACTTTTCTGACAAGCTAGGAGATTTACTGAAATAATCTATCTAGGATGGTAGTGAAAATCCAACCCAAAGTGGAATTAAATTGTGCAGGTATCTATAGCTAAATGAAGGTAGCTCAACAATGCAACAGTGTGTGTGCCATCTACATTCAATAGACTCCTAATGTTAAGAGAAAGCCTGGTTACATTCTTTTGTGATATAATTAATGTTATTTGCTGTTGACAGTTTACTGCTTACCATTGGAGTTACACTATGCACCGTGTAAAATAAACAATCTAGTTCCAACTCCCCTCATGTTGTAGTATAACTGGCTCATAGGGAGTATTAAGCATTGATTTTCACAATTGTCTTCTGTTGGTGTAATTGCATCTTTGCATATTTTTACATTGTTTGTTACAAGCAACCTAATTTGATTATTTTATGTTGACATCATGAGTAGGGAATTTTTGTGTTTCTCAATGATG